ACAGTCAGTCCTCGCTTAAGCGCACACATCCGCTTTCCACAAAAATATCCGGAAAGACGAGGGAACCGGATGCATAATCAAACGCACATACTTTTATGTATGCATGATACGTGCTGTAAATCGGTAACCAACGACTTTCTTCCGGATGGCATGGGATCCGGATAAAGGAGGACGGCGGATAAAGGAGGACGGCGGATAAAGGAGGACGGCGGATAAAGGAGGACGGCGGATAAAGGAGGACGGCGGATAAAGGAGGACGGCGGATAAAGGAGGACCGGATAAGCAAGGTCTGACTGTACATCATGTAACTTTATAAAATAGCAGTACACTGTACAGTTCTCACTCGTTGTACTCTTGCCAGCCTTGGAGAATTGTATTCCTGACTGCTGAACACACAGTCAGACTCATCCCGGCCCATGGTATTATGGTATCTCATTCCGGAATGCAGACATCAGGGAGTAGTAAAATACCGGTATTTTACTACTCCCTGGCAGGTACTAGTACCATACAATGAAGTCTACAGCTCCAGCTGCATGCTGCATGCTCCGTGATACTCACAACTGACACAGTCTAGTATACCTGTACACGACAGTTTCGTTTTTCACGTGGCTCCAAGCACTGCTGACGGGGAAAAATAAAGCACTAGTAATCGGGTCATCGTGACGGCAGGGAGCATGCACTCAAGAACCTCGCTCGGTGCGTCACAAAGACAAACGAAGAAGGAGAAAAAACTGCAGCAAGAAAATCTCATCATACTTGAGGCACTGTACACGTATGTACAGGAAAAGAACACCCGGCTCAGGCACTAGTACAACTTATGCAGAAGTGCGTCAAGTAAGCTACTTCCTATCAGTACAGTCATGTGCAATGAGACATACCGGTAACGCAACGGCACAAACACAGTACGTTGCATACTTAGCGGTCAGGGCTGGGCAATAGGTACAAAACCCTCTTTTTTCCTTTGCAGGCCGGGGGGGGGGGGGGGGGGGGGTGCAAATAAATTTAGTGAAAAAAATCAACATATTTTTGCACCAGTGTATATTGATATAATTATGTGTACATGTATGTGCATCTTCAATACTTTGTTCATAAATTACAATTTGTGATCTCTAAAATCTGTCAATGGTCTACGTATATTGAAAGAAAGAAATTGCCTGTTCACCTATCTAAGAAATCTGTTTGTCTATCAAGCACGCCTGAGATTGTGACGGTGCGTGAGTAGCTGCCTCATCTCATGAGATGATGGCTGAATGTCATGTCAGTTTGTGGAGCAGGTTGTCCGGTAGCGGGCGCCTGAGGATTGGCAGCAGGCTGGGTATGTGCTAATGGCAGGGTAGGTGCCATGGCCGGGTGCAGCAATGTACCACCCATGGCTGCCGCTGCCGCAGCAGTGGCTTGACCGGCTGTGGCTGGGTGATGGTAGAAGCCGGACGTAGCATCCTGTAGAGACTGCACTTGCTGCAGTCCGTGGCCGGGCATCAATGTCGCAGTCGGCTGGCCACCCGCACCGGTTGGTTGCAGGCTGATGAACTGCGGTGAAGGCGTCATGTATGCCGTGCGCACACCAGGATGCGGGTGCATGAGTACATGCTGCAGCTGTGGACTAGCTCCTGGTGCTAATGCAGTCGCGCCGGCAGTTGCAGCCGTGTTGTACTGCATCGCGTGAGCAACTTGATAGCGAGGTTGTGCAGCAGCCGCAGCCTGCGGAGGCAGCATACCTGCCTTGATCAGCTGTGCTGAGAGTGAGGAATGCGCCATGGTGGCATGTTGCATGGTGGGGTGCTGCTGCTGCTGCTGCAGAGCATGTCCAGCTTGCAGTGCACTGCCGGGCAGAAACTGCATGCCATGATGTGCTGCTGCGCTGCCTCCTACGGGCTGGGGCTGTGCCTGCGGCTGGGGGTGTCTTTGCAATGCAGCAATGGCTCCTGCACTGGGAGTTGCTAGAGACACGGCAGCGGGTGATGGTGAGGGAGCAGCGGCCGCCGCTCCCAACTGGCCACTTGGAGTTGTGAAGTCCATGGAGCGAGACACTGTGCGCTGCACTATGCCACCGGCCTGCACGGCCATTCCCACCGACATGGCCAGGTGTTGTTGCAGCTGTTGTTGTTGCTCTGGGTGATGCGGCTGACTGGGATGATACGGTCGTTGCTCCACTGCAGGGCTAGCAGCAGCAGCATGTGTAGGTGTTTGCGGTGCTGGTGAATGCGTAGCAAACGGTGACGAGGGCTGCATACCTGTGAAGTGGATGGGGCTTAGCAACATAGGTCGGCTACCAGCATTACCACCACCGCCACCACCACCAGCACCAATGCCAGCAGCCACTGGTACTTGGCTGAAATTTGCCTGTTGCTGATGCTGCTGGATGTGTTGTGGCTGAGCGTGTACATGCATGGCTGCTGGCATTGAGGCTGCTACTCGCGTTGTGGCAACGTGTCCATGCGCATTGGGGTTGTTCATTCCTGGCAAGTCGGCAAAGAGTTGATCCCGGGATGACCCGCTGCTCAGCAATGCCGCTGGACCTTGAGTGGTACTACCGCTTGTAGCTGGGAAGAAGTGTGAGACAGCTGAACTAACCATGGCTGGCTGCGACGGGGTTGCAAGCGGTGAGCTGAAAGACGCCTGTTGTTGGTGACGATGCATGTGATGTCGAATCTGTTGCTGTTGCAGGTGCGGAGATACTGTCTGCGCTTGTTGTTGCTGAATGACGGGTTGTTGGCTTTGGCGTCGTTGAGCTACTGGCTGTTGTTGCGATCTCTCTTGTGCATGTGTTTGCTGCTGAGATGCAGCAAGCTGTGGTGTAGCAGGCTGTGGTGTAGCAGGCTGCTGCTGCTGCAGATTAGACAGTGATGCTGAAGCAGACACCGGGTGAAGGGAGGATGGATGCACTGGTAACGGCATTTGTCTTGATGGTGGCAATACTGAACCTATGTCATGTGTTTGTTGACGTCGTTGTAGTTGTTGTTGATCGAGTAAAGATTGTGTTTGTGCAGCACTGAGTCGGTTCAATGGCATGGGATAACCAGTAGCACCACCAACGCCGCCACCATCACTAGCAGCCGTGGGCGTATGGTGTGATTGTTGCAGATCGGCTGATGAACTCGGCAAAGGCTGCAGCTGCTGCGATACCCACTTCTGGTACGTCGGTCCTCGTGCAAACGGGTGGAGGTTTCCTGCCGTGCCCATTCCTAGCGGCAGATCTGCTGCTGATGTTGTGTGCGAAGCTGCACCTGCTATCTGCTCTGCAGTATCCAGGGAATGACGCTGCTCCGTCTCTCTTGAAGGGTTTGCACGCGCCAAGCTCCTTACCGGTGCTGCCACCGCTGCTGCTGCCGCCGCTTGCAACGACAGCTGTGCCGCCATGTCAGAGGATATTGCTGTTGCCATGGTACTAGCCTGGTCTCTGTGCTGAGCTTGCCGACTGCTTTGCCCACTGGACGTGCGGCTGATTCGTCTCATTGCGGCGGCAGAGGCGGCAGCATTGTCATAAGTCGGTGGTGCCGCTGCTAGATCTGCATGCTCTCTACCAGTCGAGAGTGGACTGCGGACACGAGATGGTGGCAGTCTGCGATCACCGTCGCTGACATTGCCTGTGCCGCTGCTGGTTTGCGCGTGTCGACTGCTCATGGGCCGGTGGTCTTCAATGATGAATTCCATGCGATTCTTGCTACTCTTGTTTGCACCCAAGGCCTTGTCTGGTGGCGGTGCGTCAGAAGTGCTAGCACCAATGCCAACAGCACGAGCGGAGGCAGGGACAGAGGCAGGGACAGAAGCAGCACCAAACGGTGCAACCTGGTTATGGTCACCTGCTGCTGTGGCTGCTGTAGCGGTGGCTGGGGCTAGTGTTGGCCGTGCCGCTGCAGCTACTGCTGACGATGGACCGGGTAGGTCTTCCTCTGTCTCCTCGCCATCATCCTCTGTGAAGTCCTCCTCTTCCTCGAACAACGGCTCTTCGCTGATTCTGGGGCTCTGGAACTCCTCAACTTCGATCATTTCGTCGGAGAGCTGCGTCTCTTCGGCCAAGTACAGCCCTTCGACTTGTCTGCGCACCATCTCGGCGATGGTACGCACCCTCAGGGCGTTCTCCTTGCCGTGATTCGGGTCGTTCATGTGCCTGTGCTGGTAGAAGACCATGCTGATGCGCGACGGGTTGCGCCGGTCTGGGTTCTGTACAGGCGTAGTGGCATGCAGCTCCTTGAGGGCACACTCGATCAGTATAGAGCCGCTCTCCAGGGCTACGGCCACGCCGCCGATGAGAGGCTCGGGTGCTTGCAGGGGCACGCCGTACTCGCAGGTCTCCACGCCGGGCAGCGCCTGCGAGCTGTCCAGTGTGTACAGGGGCAGAACGTGCAGCTGGGCGTCGGACCTGGCCGCCGGCCGAGTGTCAGTCTCGGGTCTCAACAATGTTAGCAACTGTGATACATGAAGCAACACACACATACACATGCACACACACAAAAACACACACAGAAAATAATTTTAATACATAGTCAGCACACGACTTCCTTCCCAGCACCTATGATGAATACAAACGCCTTTTTTTGCTGCCCTTAATTCTCCCAAACAAACAGACAACAAATATGCTCATCAACAAAATGACTACCAAGACTTCTATCAGAATATCATGCTGTATGGAGACTCTCTTGATTTAGGCTAGATCTAGGGCCGGTGGAGAATCCATGGACAACAATACAACACGTTTTCACACGCGCACCAACTACAGTAAAACCTGGTGTAAGCGACCACCTGCTCTTAGCGACCACCTGCTCTTAGCAACCACCTGCTCTTAACGACCACCTGCTCTTAACGGCCACCTGCTCTTAACAACCACCTGCTCTTAACGACCACCTGCTCTTAACGACCACCTGCTCTTAACGACCGTTTTTCCATGCACGGACAGTTCTACACAGACACTGTGGGACTTGGTTCTAAAAACCACCTGGCTTTAACGGCCGCTTTTGCTGGCACCGTGGGGTGGTCGCTTAAACCAGGTTTTACTGTACTGTTCGAAGTCACAACTTTGCGCTGGTATTGCATACACATCGTGACACATTTGCCAAGCTGCATGGTGATGTTCTGCTATAGATAGTGACGTACAACGGTGGCTCCGCCGTCTTTATTCAGCTGATCATGGTGACTATGTGCACAGAAATCCATGCAGCACGTCACACCGGAAAAGGGTCGCTCGGCCGAGTCGCCAATACGGCATTCCGTGCCGTTCTCCAGTCCTTGCAGCTAGTAGCGGACAACAACACCAACACGGCAGACAACAATAACACAACAACACAGACAATGGCACAAACAACACCAACACGGCAGACAACACATACGACGACACAGACGACAGCAACACAAACAACAGATAAACACATGTGTTGCCCCCGTAGGCGACGTTGGCGACAAGCAACACCCGTCGTATGCAACTTACTTTGCATCCACTGCTACACTTTCTGTAGTCTGGGCTTCATGTATGACTAACACTGCTATTGATGTATTGACTTTCAGTCGGCTCCAGTTACAACTGCCGGTACACATGATACATGAACTGTCTGACCCCTTTCATGCATTCGTATGCAGCTGTCACCTAACACCTGCACCGCTTTTGTCATCTACTTGTACTAGTATGTATCTTTTGCCGCTACGCTAGGATCGGGATTGTAGTCCGTGATCCGTAGGCGTAGAGGGGCTTGTTTTCCTTGGTGTGTAAGGAGTTTTTAGGTTCCTGCTTCGGTGGTGCAGGTCATTAGTTTTTGGGTCATTCTTGTTTTAGTATGAGTTAGCTGTTTGGCAGGAGAATGAAAGAGTAATAATACAGTCTTCTAATAATAAAGTAACGACGTTACGTTTGTGGAATGGTGAATCAAGACGAGAGGTAAAAACAACATGTTTCTTAGCAGAGTGTACAGGCAGAGTTGATCGGCGATTTGCTGAAAGTTCAAAAACAAGACAGTGCATGCGAGACTTGCAAGGAGAATGCAATCGCGTCCACACAGCCTGTGATATCCCAAGAAGTTCTAGCCAGTGAAGACAATATGGGGGGGGGGGGGGGAAGGGGTGATACTAGAATGTACTGATTGTGGTGGGGTATGATAGCATCTTTGGTACTACACCATTGGAGTTGACAGAAACAGTAGCCAGCAGTCAATCGTCGATACATGTGTAGTGCTGCTACTGTGCGACTGCGGGGTGAAGAATGTGGATATCGCTCGCTATCCTGAACCCAGGAGTTGCGTAGAGCTCATCATCTGGTTCTACAAACTGCTGTGCAACAGGGGGTTGAAACTTGATCACTGTACTCGAAGTACATGTAGAACTACCTCCACAGAGTCATAACCGGGATTGCATACAGTGTATTCCTTCACTTGAATTTCCAAGTACAAAATGGGAAACAAACAAACGGGAACACTGGAACCAGGAGCAAATGTGAGAAATGGGATTCAACTGGGAAAGAAAGCAGAGAGAGAGAGAGAGAGAGATAGGGGGGGGGGGGGGGGGGGAGCATCATGCTGCGGGCAAAGTGCCACTGTCTGATACAGAGGAGGAGCTATGGCAAATATCTCGTTGTAAAGTGACATACCTGATTCTTGTAAGCTGCCGGAACGTGGGATTCATACATGCGCGCTATGCCATCAGCAAGACCGTTCATAACTTTCTCTACTTCCTGTTCATCCTGTACAAATCAGTGCAGTCACAACAGCAGAAGCAGCAGCAGCACCAGCACCAGCAGCACCGTGTGTTGACATGCAGTTCAAAGCCATGCTCGCATTGCCTGTTCACTTGTTCTTTGGCAAAGCTAACAGCATCCTTGTACTTGTACATCTACACGTAAATGCAATAGAATGGCTTCAAAATCAATCATGCATCATTCAAAATGGATGTGCAGCTGTCTGATATGTCTGATAGAGCAACACACTTGTCATCTACTTCGAAAGTACTCCCGATTCTGGAAAAATATTTATATTGAGGAAGTTACAGCAAAATCTGTCAAGGCGACCACTCTGATAAGGCGACCACCTGTCCTACAGAACCACTCCAAACGGGAGCAAGCAAGGTTGTTTCCAGTCTAATGACCCTGGCTAAGGCGACCACCTGTTCAGGGAGGCCACATTTGGAAGATCCCATGAGCATTTGTCAGCTTAGACAGGTTTCACTGTTCGTATGAGAAAGAGAGCAGCACAACCTCCTAGGATAAAACCATTCGATTCAGCACCGACGACATACATCTGTACAGAGCCCATACAAGCAGCAACGTTGTGATAGATTGGCTGCTATACCGAGGCTCCCACTTGAACTGAACACGGGGGCTGGATAGACAGTGCTCGTACCACAGATATCTGGCTCTTGCTTTCCGGATGGTTGCTGAGACGGAACTTGCGCACACTGTTGCTGCTGCTCAATCCAAACTTGCACGACATCAGATAGAGAAGCCACGAGCAGCCAAACGAAAACGACGCACCGCCGGTCTCTGGATCAGAGCCCTGGCATGAACAGGTATGCCTGCTCAAGCAGAAAATGGGAGCAACGCATAGAATACACACAATCACTGGGGTTCAGAAAGAGTAAGGTAGGGGGGGGGGGGGGAGGGTGATTAGCCAGTTTACATGCTTAATTAAAAGGAAGCTTCTCATATTGTCGGACCTTCTTAGGAGGGTGCTTTTTCCTCTACTTATGGACTTGAACCCTGCATGGTCTCATCTACGATGGAATGTATGTTTACAGGAATACAAAGATTAGATGCTAGCACTGGAGTATGCACTGTCCATGATTGGATTGCAGATGACCTTGCTTCAGCATGGCGACACACACACACACACACACACACACACACACACACACACACACACACACACACACACACACACACATACTCAGACACACACACACACACACACACACACACACATACTCAGACACACACACACACACACACACACACACACACACACACACACACACACAAACACACACACACACATGCACACGCCAAGGCCACAGCTGGAATCCAGGCAGAGATTAAAAACTCGTTTGGATGCTCGCTAAAAACTGTTCAGACTCACCTTCGATTGGAGTCACACTTCCGCTTCGTTGGCCGGCCATATTGTGGCAATTTGGAAGTGAGGAATCCATAGATACTCTTGGATTGATTCTGACCGATAAAGTCCCAAGCAACTATGGAGACCACAGTGTAGCGTTGTTCACAACGATGTTGCTGATGGCTGCGGAACAATACCAGGAACTTCTCCTGGATGGAGTGACGACGTACAATCTAGTCACAGAATTTTAACAGGAGAGGAAGGCAGGAAATAGTGAAAACAGGCCAGAGCAACGAGTGCTGCCAGAGTGCACGATGCAGCAGGCATGTCATGCACAGCCATCCACCATATAGGGACAGAAACACATCCAGGAAATAGCCGCCACTGCCAGCAGGGTCAGTGTAGTCCAGGCGACATCAGTAGCGTGGCAATGTGCCCTTCTTCAAGTTCCAGTCGCCCCGTCTCAAACTTGAAAACGCCACTAAAATACACTGTAGTGAGTGCACACGGTGTTGTCTACACACCCGGATGTATGGTGTCCATGTAGGTGCTCTACCGACTAGAATACTGTGCTGCCACTGCATTGCTACAGGCAGCAGTAACAGTTGAGTACAAATGGCAATAGGCCTCCATACCTGTTACCATGCTGTACTCCGTTCGTGGAGGCATGCAGATTTCCATAACAAGGTTACAAACTAAGCCAGCTGACCCTCTTCAATTTAAACCTGCTTGGGGGACCCCTTTAGTAGCACATTGACAACGTGATTGCAAGCAAAGTCGCTGCTGCTTGCAACATTGAGTGACTCTGCCGTGTCTGCAGCTACTTAGGTAGTTCTCGTCACAAGCAATCTCATCCCAGGAGTGATTCAGTCATGCCGCATGATACAAAACACACAAAACACGAGGCAGTCTTTTCTGCTCAGCCAATACTTGATAGTATATGTATAGTACTTACAAACTTTGCCGTTGGACAACCTTCGCTAGATTTCACTTCACGGCCAGTATAACCGACCTGTAGGATACACAAAGGTCCCACACAAACACACAAACACAGCGGTTAGGATAGAACCATGCCTATACTCTAATTATTATATTGATTACAGTATGAACACTTGAAATACACTCACTGATCATGCGAGGACACTCTCTGCAACAATACAGCCTGTATACAATGTACAACTGGAGCCTGACACTTCCTATACTTATAGGCAACATTAGACAGTCACCATATAATGTGTGTGTGGTGTGTGTGTGTGCCGGTGTTTGTGAATGTGTGTGTGTGTGTGTGTGTGTGTGTGTGCGTGCGTGTGTGTGTGTGTATGTGTGTGTGTGTGTGTGCGCGCGCGTGCGCATACTCTAGCAGTAGAAAGACTGAGTAACATCTAGAAGTTCATTGCAGCATATCCCACAAACAATATCGGTATGTCAGTATGTCAGCAGATTCGCGACAGCTGTCCATACTAGAGACTTCACAGTCTGTGTAAGATAATTCACATGACTACAATCCCTGCATGAGAGTCAGCAGAGCATGTGCTTTGAAAACATAGTCATGTGACTAGGAGCTGTCATACCACTGCCAGTTGTGCTCACCTCCACCATCCGAAGGCATTCTGGTCGAACCTTGAACCTTCAATTCAGAACCAGAGGACACGCATGAAGCAATAAGGTTTCAACATCTGAGCTGTATACTTTCCAGATCACATGGTGATAATCGTCGCGATATTTCTACTTTGCACATCCTCAGTTCATGAACACATAAAGTTATGTATCTAGGGATAAGGAGACATTGGGCACAGGAAGAAGAACGTCTTCTTCTTCTTAGTATGTAGTATAAACATAGTCGTGTGGCAGTCCACTGAATGCAGCTGAATGCAGCTGAATGCAGCTGAATGCAGCTGAGCACGTGCCATTGTCACAGACAGCCAATACCCGGGTCTGCAGCCTGCAGGAGTATTTTCGATTGTAGGCAGGTGGAACAACTCTATGACATCACATCTCAATGACACAGAGTACGTATATGATCACACAATTACTCACTGCTCCAGCAAGAAGAGTCGCAACGCTTCCGGTGATCCGGCCGCACCAAGATGGGTATAAAAGTGGCCATCTGGTTCTTCTCCATCTGTTCATTCAGGCACACAGGAAGAATACCTAGCGTTTGGTTTAGCTACCATATTCACTGTTGCAATGCCAGAAGTACCATGGGAGAAAAGTGCCATATGAACCCGGAGTAGCAACCCTAATCATGATTGAGTGAGTGCTGTAGCCGTCCATATGGCTGTCAAGTACTCTCTCTCTCTCTCTCTCTCCATCCCTCCCCCTCTCTCTCTCTCTCTCTCTCTCTCTCTCTCTCTCTCTCTCTCTCTCTCTCCCTCTCTCCCTCTCTCCCTCTCTCTCTCTCTCTCTCCCTCCCCTCCCCCTCCCCCTCTCCCTCTCTCCCTCTCTCTCTCTCTCCCTCTCTCCCTCTCTCTCTCTCTCTCTCTCTCTCTCTCTCTCTCTCTCTCTCTCTCTCTCTCTCCTCTCTCTCTCTCTCTCTCTCTCTCTCTCTCTCTCCTCTCTCTCTCTCCCTCTCTCTCCCTCTCTCTCTCTCTCTCTCTCTCTCTCTCTCTCTCTCTCTCTCTCTCTCTCTCTCTCTCTCTCTCTCTTTCCCTGCTCTCTCCCTCTGCCCTCTCCCTCTACGAGTATCCTTAGCTCCGTGTTGCAATCTCATCATATACAGTCAGACTTCAGCATAACCTGCAAATCCTTTTAACATCTCTACTTTACAGTTAAGGTACTGTTCGTGTATAGCCCAGGTCAAATCACTGATAATCTAGCTTTATAACAGGTCCTTAAAAATTGTACTTCCACTATCGTACAGTGTGTTCACCTATGCATGCTGTGTCCAGGGCACAGTAACCTGAAGCTTCAGTGGACTTGTATATAGTTTGATTGGGTAATTGTATTGGCCAAAGAGAATTCTGAAATCAAGTGTTTGGCAGCAGAAGTGGATGTTGTGCTTGTACTCATCCTAATGGTGTGCAGCAGTTCTGACCTGTGCACTTGCACGCTGGTGGAACGATCTCCTTCTTCTTGGACTCGCGCTTGAACCGCTTGCACGTACGAGTCACCTGTGATGCGCCAACACAAACGCACAGACAGACAGACAGACCCACAAACACACACACACACACACACACACATTATATCAAGACATGTCAATTGCAACAATGACATGCCTGCACGAGCAGCAGGACTGCTGGTACACTGCCTACGAAGCACATTTGTCTGCTCTGGCAACAACCGTATCATACGGGCTATCAATAAGCGACAAAGAACGACGCACAAAACGGAGCCAAATAGCGGTGCGTAGTGTGCCGGCGTGCGAGAGGTGTGTGACCACTGGGTCACACACTGGCAACATGACAGCTGCAATGGCAGCAAGCAGCAGCGGTGCCAAGACAAGTGTCAACATCCAACACCTTCCTGACTACGTACGCACGTGTGTGCACATGACACAGGAGGGGGAAGGCACATCACTCTCTGACCGCAACGCGAAAACGCACCATAAGGGGAACACCATGTGGAAACAGCAGCGGCTTCTATCTTCTAAGGATTGTCAAAACAAGACCTCCCATTATATCTAGCACAGGGGCACACAGTGGCTCGGGAGATGGTTTTGCTCTTGAAGAGGTTTTCTCAAGTATGTACTTGACATCATCTCACACTATACAACAAAGGCACAGGTGTCTATTTTTAGAAGCGATGAGTCGGCACATTCCTAGCATTCTTCGTTACTCTAAGGCCGCCTGAATCCATCTTAGCCCAATTTCATAATGTGACGAGGGAGGGAGAGCATACCGGAGAGTATACCCGTCTACTTCGTCCTCGCAGAACCTGAAGTCGATACCCGCCTACACTCGTTTGCACTTCTCACACCACCTGTCAGCATTTTCCGCTCACCGGACCCAAAGCCAAAGCGGGTACATGTATTTGGATGGCGTGCAGGGTGGAATACTCCCCCGATGGCAAGCTGGCAAGCCGTGCACAATGCCTTGCAAGTTTACTCCTTCCATGCCCTCGTATACTCTCAACAGCGGAGGAGGCTTCAGACTACGTGCTAAAGTACAGAATAAGCCAAGGCCGACATGCTCCGAATCCTTGTAGCGTCACCGGCACTATGGAATTGTGAACGCTGAAAGAGCAGCGAATTCCGATGGTGGGTAGGACAGAGGGGAAACGAATAGCACTGGCTTGAATAGACCAACGGGTTGACTAAGGCGACATGCATGCTCAAGGTAGCTATACCTAGGCTTTCTTAAGCTTTGCTGGTTGTCCACTGCCAGTGGTTGAGTCCAGCACAATGGCATGCACTAGCATAATAACGTTAACAGGCTAATCAGTGTGAGACCCACAGTAGCATAGTAACAGGCTAATCAGTGTGAGACCCACAGCCTAGGCCAATGCATGAACATTCCATGAAGCTGCTTGCTACCTGATGAACTGAAGCTCAATTGGACTCAAGTAGCACATTGGAAATTACAGGTGCAGTACATGACACGACTAAACAAGGTCAATATTAAATAAAGAGACAGGTGTAGAGATCTACACTTGAATTCAGTTACGTGATCAGCACAAGCTGCAATCCATCCCCCAGGCCATGACCCCCCCCCCCCCCCACACACACACCCATGATCCACTGCGCACCAGCATTTCATCAGCAAGGCACAGGGGAAAGTAAACAATCAAAACATTGTCAGCCGCATGCCATGACACCATACCAGGCAATCAAACTGGATCCGATCATGCGCCTGCCAAAGTCAGCAGCACCAAAGTCAGCAGCACGTGCCCCCTCAACCATGAAATACCCCCACTGCAATAACTAGTACTCACGCGTCTACGCAGCTCGTTCTTTGTTGTCCTGTCGATGGCATTGAACTTGGTTCCGTCCGGCCGTGTGACCCTCACTCGGTGGCATCTTGGCAACTTGACCTTGCTGACGTACTCCGTGGCTATCTGGTTTGCTTTCGTCATGAATGCCTGGAAGCTGTCCTGCGTTCCCAGCTCCTGCGGGGTGTCCACAAGGTCTGGGAACTGCACCAGAGGTGGAATGGGTGGAACATCGGCCCCGGCAGCAGTAGCAGTAGCAGCAGCAACAGCAGCAGCATTTGGGTGTGCTGAATCCATGGTAGCCTGGCCATGTGCTGAAGTAGCTCCAGCAACACCAACACCAGCGCCAACACCCCCCAGTGTGTGCCGTGCATCCATGCTAAAGCTATCCAAGAACGGGTGATGGCTCAGAGATCTGACTGGCATACCGGCTGCGGCGGGTGTTGGGTATGTCCCGGCGGCGGCGGCGGCAGCTCCAGGGTACACACCAGGAAGCAGATTGGCCCGTCCCGGGTAAGCAGGCGGAGGCCCATGGAGCTGGTACATTGCTGGGTTGTAGTGGGCCGCATTCGCCACTTCCTGCACTTCGCCCCCCGGCCCTCCTCCGGGCGCTGTCGGCGCTGATAAGGACATATGCGCTGGGAAGAGTCCGGAACTCGAGTGGCCACCGTCAGGGTGCATTGGTGTTCCTGCAAGCACTGGTCCATGCACAGCACCAGCAGTCGACACCACGGCATTGCTGAAATTCACGGCCGATTGTTGCTGTTGTGAAGTTGCACTCGCGCTGCCTTGTGCTGGGTCCGTCTCAACAGGTCCCCGAACAGCACCCGTCTGGTCAGCATCAGCTCCAGCATCAGCTCCAGCATCAGCAGCCACCCCTGAGACAGATTCGATTTGGGTATCTGCCACACAACCAATAGTAGCAGTATTGCTAATCCTACTTGTAGAGCTGGGCTGATTAGCAGTAATATCAAGTGAACTGCAAGTATTGACCATCTGTGTGACCGAGTGTGTCTGGTCAGTATACAGCGGACATTCGGCAACTGCTGGGGAAGAGATTCCTGGCGTAGCGTCTGACTCTAATGTCCGAGTAGCACTGCAGTTTAGTAATGACGTAATCGGCGGCAGAGGCACTGGCACTGGTTCACTGACCCCCGCTGGTGTTGTCTCTTCCGGTGTGCCACTGCCAAGGGCCTTCTCCTTGTCTCCGGGCACCGGTGGTGCTGTAGTCAGCTTTGTCGGCTTGGGCTTCTTTGGTCGCCGTTGCTTGGGTTTGCTTGGCCTGTCTTCTGCTTTGTCCGCTTTGGCAGGCGTGGTGGCGGGGGCAATCAGTTCAGGAAGGGCTGGCTGATAGAACCGTTGCGCTCCTACAAACAGTCCACCTTCAAATGGCGATGGTAGCTTCACTGTGTCCAGTTCCGCCTGCTCAGCACGCGACGTCTCCAGTAGATTATAACTGAGCAATTCATCTACAGCTGATCCCGAGCCAGAATCATCCAATTGCTCAGCTGAGGCCGCCGCTGCTACTGCAGCAACTGCAGCTGTGGCCGCTTGATGGTCAAGGTAGTGGCGAGACGTCAGCAGAAGGGTATCGGCGTCGATCGCAGAGAAGCGCTTCTTTAGAGATGGCTCGTCATCCAACTGGAAGCCAGGTGAACGCCGCTTCAGAGTTGTCACGGTGGACGACTTGCGCTTGACAATACCAGGTGTCGTTGCTTGCCCCGTCTCTTTCTTCTTGCGAGCTCGTGGCTTTGGCATGGGCTTGGGCCCAAAACTGGATATAGCCTCACCCACAGGAGGTGTGGCACCAGTTGGCAGTGCTGGTTCCGCCACCATGGGTAGTGCTGCCACTGGAGCAGATGAAGGTATTTCAGGACTACCGGAGTCGACACCTGAAGTAGGCGGCACTGCATTGGCAACGGAAATAGCTGAAGGATTTGGACTGGAAGAAACGCCACCTTCGCTTGACACCCTTACTGGCTGCCCGCTGGATGCTGGTCGAATATTTGTTGGCTTCTTGACGAGCCTTCTCTTTTTCAGTGGCTTTGTTGTCTCAAGAGATGGTGGTGAGGCACTACCACCGGTACTGAGTGCTGTCGATGGACTCGCATTTCTCTTAATTTTCAGGCTTTTCCTTGGCTTGGAAGTTGGACTGGGCTTGGCTGAGGGATCAGAATCCGACTTGGTTGCGCCAGTTGGCTTTTCACTCAGACTGGTCTTTTCAGCAGGGCTAAGCTTTGCAGCAGGACTAAGCTTTGCAGCAGGACTAGGCTTGGGTGAGGACTTGCTGGTGGTTGTTGCTGTTGCTGCTGCTGTTGCTGCTGCAGTGCCCGGTTTGGTTGCAAGACTCGACTTTGTCAGTGCAGCTCCTGGCTTTGCCGCAGGACTCGCTTTCCTCGCCGGTGAACGGCTACCTTTAGGTGCAGGTTTAGCCTTTAGTGCATCAGCGGACGGGGCAGAGGAAACTGACTTTGCTGCTGCCACCACTCCAGGACTAGGCTTGGGTGCTGAGCCTGGCTTCTTCTTAGGGACAGGATGCATTGATACCGGAGCAGGTGAAGGAACAGGAGAAGACTTGGACGAGTCGACAACACCTTGCGGCTAATATGTAGTCAACAAGGCACAGAGAAGGAAAGGCAAAAAATGGACATTAGACGAAAAACTCGATGCCACTTCACATTCACATTTATATAGTACTTATCTGTGTGGCATCACGCCGGACATGACTTACACCAACTCATTGGGCTCACACAATGCTAGGATATCACACAGTGCTAGAATAACAACACACAGTGATAGATGTGCTGCTATATGGCGCTAGGATACGAGTCACATGACGCTAGGATAGAGTACTCCACACATCATGTACATATGAGGTGCCATTGTTACCAGGCATGTGACTATGGCATTGCAGTGGCAGTAGATTGAGACAAGGAAGGCACAGGCCATTTTAGATGGTGTGAACATGCTTACCATTGCACTACAATGCCATGTACTGAATGCTACAATGTCATGTACTGAATGCTGAAGTGGAGAGCCCCCCCCCCCCCCCTTCCAGACTGAGAACCAATACAGTCAGTACGCCCGAATACTGTAATCGTGGCCGAAGAAATCTTACCCACATGCTAAGTGCGGCCCCTGGATCAGTTTTTGGAACGTGCAAGATGTAATTGAAATGGACATGCGGCACTACTTTTGACTCGCGGTTTGGATTTCTTTGGTCATGTTTGTAATAAAGTTTCTCCAATGCAAAGTTGGTACATATGAAGCTGTACAAACACGTCACAGTACTGCACAATGCATTTATCTTTCACACGAGTTACTAGCACCACGAGTTTCCATGCTAGAGAGCTGCCGGCCGCACTGCGGCACTGCTATCTCCACTGGCACAGGCATTGTACAGTTGAGGCGAATGAATGCTGTACGCATGTCCGTTGCATGGGCACCTGCAGCTGCACTTGGGCTCATGAGACACTGCATCGGCCTCGGGGAACAACGCCTGTCAACATCATACAGCCGTGTACCCACATCACGCTACACGGCCAGTAAACATCACAGCTCTGCACCCGAGGCCAATTCCGCAATTCATCACGGAACAATCTTGTGATGCGTAGTGCGTACAGTGTACTCGTCGTGCAAGCACAGGTGGACGATACTGAATTACATGTTCATCCTTCAAATTTCTATGTTTCGGAATGCTGGCTCCTGATTGCAACCAAGTCAGTGTTAGTTTCTGGCATTGTTCATTGAAACCATTATCGAGAACAATGTCATAATTGAAACCAATGTCATAATTGAGAACAATGTACTGCAGTGACTTCGGGGTGCCGAAGAACTGGGGTGGGTTCAGCCCCGTAGCCTGGACCAGTCATATATAGCAGTCTATGCGCAGTAGTCACACTGCATTATATCGCTATGCTGTGCTATGCTATGCTGTGCTTGGTGAAAATCTAGCCTGTACGTTCTTCGGCACTACGGTCTTCGGCACTACGGTCTTCGGCACTACGGTGTTCGGCACTACGGTGTTCGGCACTACGGTCTTCGGCACTACGGTGTTTGGCACTACGGTCTTCGGCACTACGGTCTTCGGCACTCTGTTCTTCGGCACTCTGTTCTTCGGCACTCTGTTCTTCGGCACTCCGGTCTTCGGCACTACGGTCTTCGGCACACCCTTTACTTCTTCTCTGCACTGGATAGTGCTGTGGATAGTGCTGTGGATAGTGCTGTAGTCTTGCAGTTTGTAGTGATCACCATGAATTATTCAGTTTGACACCCAGCACACAGCACCCAGCACACCATGCGTGACGACTGTGCACCACACCACTGGAGAGCTTTGTCACACTCCACTGCAATGCCCTGTTCCCCTGTGTAGCAACTGTGCTTTGTAGATTGACAAACGACATGTACACATAATACCAGTACACATGTACCAAGTACCAGTACCAGGACGCCTCTGACTGAAGTTCAGTCTTTGCCACAGGCAAAGGGTTTTGCTGGTCCCCAAACAAGAACAGTAACACTCCTGTCATCATTTTCGTTCTAGCGGTTGACCAGTGCAGTGTTACCCTGTCTAAACGTTCCCTGACGTGACCCATTCCGCAAATGCACGAACCGTTCGTAATAATCATTATTATTTTTGTGATCTCACAGCGTCAACGTCTACAGCTAGCACCGAGCGATCACGATCACCATGATCACAACCTTAGTTACCTAAGTCTTTTAGAGTTTAGTTTGTGCTATTCATTACGCTCCGTTGCCATATCGATCCCATCAAACCCAACTCTGTACCCGTCTTGAACATAGTTGTGATCACCATCACCACCCGCACGGCCTGCAACAGTGCAAGTCCATTTCTGCAAAAAAAAATACGTTCCTGCTCTGAGCTGAGAGCAATCAATCACGGCCTCCTGGCCAAATACAATGCACCACGCGGAACCTAGCGAACACGCATATTGTGGAGTATACACATCACTAAACTATCTGACAGGAGTCTGAGGAGAGCGCATACCACACCTGAGATGGCCAGCAATTCACCTCGAATTTTTCGCGATTACGATCGTACGATTTTGATCTGGAGAGCATGCATAGTCATTAGGTATGATGGAGAAAGACTACGACATTACTTGCACAACTAGCTAACCTTCTCGTCCAGCGCCGACGCGAAGGAGTCATGTCCCGGCAGCAGTCGATGCTTGAGAGCTTCGCACTTGCGATGGACGCAGACCTGCTTCAGCTTGGCCTTGTGGATGCACTGCCTGCACTCGCCACAATCCACGGTTACCTTGCACGGCCCGCACTCGCCACATCGCCGTCTTTTTACATTGGCCGAGGCTCTGCCAGCAGCACCGCCATCGCGGCCCATGATGCCGTCAGTTTGCGCGGCCGTAGCGCCACCGTCAGCCCCAACTGCTGCAGTGGAGCTGATCGTTGAACTAGTGAAAGAGTCGGGAACATCAGAGCCAGCGCCGCAGCACCACGGCTGACTCGTGCAGCAAGGACCTTCACCAGAACTCGAGCAACAAATAATTGTCGATGGTCGTGTCTGCACGGATGATGCGTGATTATTACCAGGAGTAGGATCAGTAGCGTGAGGAAATGACAATGCTGCGCCGCTCCCTCCGTTCTCTGCTTCCAGTGGCCTCAGCAGCGGCTCTGCAGAATGTGCTCTGCCACTAAAAGTCGGCGTCGCTGATGCGACGCTCGAAATCCCACTCTCGCTCTCACATTCAGAACTACCCGCTTTTCGTAAAAGTTTTACTACTGAGCTCCCAGCATCATTTGTCACAGTGCAGCTGACGACTGTAGCCTTTGTACTTGTAGGTCTACACGCTGTAGATGTACGTGTAGTAAGGGTTGATGACACGATGTGGTCTGTTGCTGGATGCCAGTGGTTGTGCTCTGATTCATCGCCTGCAAAGCACGATGCATCAGAGCAAGCACTGGCAGTTGCAGTTGGGGCTGGAACTGGGACGTCGTCGTCTGTACCGCAAACATGTAGTGGGTGATGGTCGTCGCACAAACTCTCTGAGTCTTTGCTTTGGAATTTGCCTAGTTGGACGGTGCTGGGGTTGGACGAAAGCGCAGCTTGTTGCGACTGGGCAGGTTGCTTGCCATTTGCTTCGCCATCTCCATCAACACCGAAATCAGCAGCACCAACAACAGGACGGGCATTACTAGCGTTGGCACAAGGCGGGCAAGGAGCAGGACAGGGTTCATCGCTTTCGTCTAGGTGGTTGCGTGTACCGGCATCACAGCGGTGTTCACAGCGATGTGCGGGGAACTGCTGAGGGGCTTTGCGGGGGAGATCTGCCATATCCTCATGCCGTACTACCGGGACATCTTGCTCGCCGAGGCGCGAAAGCATTTTTCGGAACTCAACGTAGAGTCTACGTTGACAACCCGAGGTTTTCTTTCGGGAAGCGCTGACCACGCGACAGTGCTCTGTGGCCGGGTGGATGGCAGTCGAACGTTGTTCAGGAGGATACTCGCAACGTGTTTTTCAGCAATCCATAAATCCAGTGGGAAATATCATCCACTCTACTTGTATCCAAGACTGCTGGGCAAGTAGCTGGCGAAACGAGTATTTTATCCCCGCTACCACCACTACTCTGAACCGATGTCCTGAATGTTCCGCGCTTGCACTCCAGACTCTATGAAACCAGCTGCGAGGAATCCGCGACACTCCGATCCGGTGTGCTCGTCCTCGCTATGGTCAGCTAGTGACATAGATATCCCTGACCAACGCGTTAGCGGGCAGGTCGAGGAATCACTTCGCTATTCGTAGATCAACTCGCTAGAAGCCTGGTGATCAGTCACGGTCGTCCTGGCCAGTTGGTTACAGCCTGTTCGACTCCGAGCCCGCTTTTCCGGTGCCTACTCCATTTTCGTCGGAAAGACGCAGTAAGCGCAGTACTGTTCAGGAGAATCATGTGCCAGTGAAGTAGCGTTGCTATTCTGGAGATCTTTGTATCGTCGAGGCAATCTCGGTCAAGTGGTTGGCGCTTCGCAGAGTTGTTCAATTCTCGCAAGGACCAAATGGCGGCGGGAAATGGCCTCGTCGAGTTGTGGATTGGCACTTCCGCCCGTAGTTAGGCGATGAGTGGCGACCAGTGGCACTCTTGGAGAGGCCTCGAAACATCCTTCTGGCGAGAGCACTGGCTCGTTGTCTGTTTTGTAGCTGCTCGACATGATCGTCAAACGTGCCTGCACTTTCTACTATGTAGTACTGCAAGAGAATCTTGAAGTCAAATCGAATCTACTACTAAGTACTATACATGTACGTGACATTGGATATCAGCAATGCTGATGCATTACCAGATTCATGCAGAAGAGGCAATCTGCATTGAGCATACCGGTAATTATGGTAGATCTGTAATACCGAATACCCACCAGGCCTAAGTGTGGCGTACTTATGCTACTAGGACTACACCCGCCGTGCCAGCTAAAATCACAGGGTGCTCAAAGTCAAAGCATCGGACAGTCACTCAGTCACAGAGTCAGTCAGTGGTGAAGACGAGCCACCCTTCCACTACCGGAAAAGCCACCATATGATGCAGTAGGAAGAGAAGAACAAAGCGTAGATCTTCATAACTCGTAAGTGCCAGTAAAAGAACGTGCCAGCTAGCTCTCTATCTCCATATATCTGCCTGATTACTAGTGGGTTGCCTACTTGGGAATGAGCTAGGAAAATATCACGTGACTTTTACACTGGCATCAGGCCATGCATTATAGATTGTAGTCATGCAGTGACTAGTGCTGGTATTACAGCTGCGCAGAGTAGATAGGTCTAGACTTATTCTGAGCTCCAAGCCAAGGATGAGACGTCAAAGAGCTAGAGTAACAGCAGTATACCATGGTATACTGGTACTACTTGTACTTGTACCAGTAGTAGCATGATAAATGCATTGTACATGTATAGTAGCTGCCCGGAGCTTACCCTCAGCATTGTGTCAAGCCCTGGCAGTCCCTGGGTGTGCCCATGGCCCAGTCTATTCTGTGATAGGGAACTAAGTAATTAGTTAATTACTTCGACAAAAACTCCATACAACACAATCATAATTGTGGATTATACAAGAAACCATAGGTTTTGATGTATAATCCTAATTGCATAAGGAGGTGAAGCGAAATGTAACACTGTAGTGGCCCCTTCGTTTTCTCTGCAAACCCGCTAGAAATACCAGAATTTTTTAACGCCAAACACCATAGCAACCACTGCCCTGGATAACCCCTGTGCCACTGCCTGCCTCCATTGGCCTTGTTTGAACTGCTCTGTAAATCCTGAGCACGCCCCAGTGGGGATGGGCCGGGAGGGACTACAGTGTTACATTTCGCTTCACCTCCTTATGCAATTAGGATTATACATCAAAACCTATGGTTTCTTGTATAATCCACAATTGCACTGCAGAGGCTCCGCTTCATGTAACACTGTAGCTATTTGTCGCAGTAACAAACCGCCCACAAGCAACGTGAAGCGAAATGGTGACAAACATTACATCACCGCAGGCCAAGACCAGTGGAAAACAGGAATAAGTACCTGGCTAGAAAAACCACTATACATGTAGTGTCCAAGGTCAGAATACCATCCGAAATAGACCGAATGGGAGTACAGGCAAGAGAAGCCAAAAGAGAGGAAAAATGGGTTGACAACCCATCATGTCGTCATGCACTAGAACAAGACTAGATAAGAGTCCAGAATTACATGTACAACGTGAGTACTTGCGAGTTAGTATTTGCAAATCCAACTCATAGTCCAGGAACCGGACATAGCTAAGTCCGTCGAAGAACCGTGGCCGTGAACTGATCTGCCGCTGTCCGTGCAGGGCTCGCGTCCACTGGCAACAGATAGAAACGCCGAAAGGTAGATGCTGATGACCAATCGGCTTGGTGCAAGATATCCGCTAAGGATACCCCACCGGCATGCGCGGCCGATGTAGCAGCCCCACGCAACGAATGGGCTGAGAATATCGCTGTGTCCACTCCGGCCGCAGTCATACCATCCTTTATCCACCTGGCTATAGAGGACGATGTCACCGGCTTGAAAGGCTGCCGCAGGCTGAGGAAAATCTGCGGATGAGCAGTCTGACGGTGAGGAGCTGTGCGCCTGACATACTCCTGGAAGCAGCTTGATACGCACAAGTGTGGCGTGCTGTCGAAGACAGGCCACACCACGGTGGGAAGGGACGCATCCCCTCGGCAACCAGGCCGACGCTGCTTAGGCATGGAGGCATACGTCACACGGAGAGACCCATCACCCTCAGTAACATGGGAATGGAAATCCAAACGATGCAAATCAGAAGAGCGCTTGGCGCCAGTCAGCGCCATGAGCAGAGCCAGCTTTATTGAAAGCAGGCGTAGAGAGAGGGTAGAATTGTCACCCAGACCACCCATCCAACCCAAGACATCGGAAACTTTCCAAGTATGGGAATACCGGGGTTGTGGAGGACGCTGTTGGAAGACGCCACGCATAAGCCTAACCACCAGGGGATGTTGGCCAACTGGCGCACCATCTAAGCCTGGCAAAGTGGAGGACAGGGCAGAGCGATACACATTCAACGTGCGGTAACTTCGGCCCACGGCAAACATATCAGTTAGAAACTGCAATACTTGTGACACAGGCGGCTGAAAGGAATCAATCCGCCGTTCAGAACACCAACTGTGCCAAGCTGTCCATGCTGACGAATAGGCCGAGTTGGTGGAGTCCCGCCATGATCCCAGGATGAGGGCAATAGTGCCTGATGAAAGGCCTGCCGCCGCATAGGATCGGGAGAGATGAGCCAGCCGGCTAGTTGGAGATGACCGCCCAGCACCATGGGATGAGGTTGATCCAGCGGTGAGGTGAGGAGCGCTGGATGGCCCGGTAATAGAACTGGACATGCTACCAGAAGATGGAGCAGGAGCGGATACCATGGCTGCGCATCCCACACTGGTGCCACCAGCAACACTCTGCACCCCGGGGACTGGCGCACTTTGTGCAGAACCCTCGGCAAGAGAGCAAAGGGTGGAAACGCATACAGGCATTGATCGGCCCATGATATGGCAAGAGCATCCACATCCAGTGCTCCGGGTTGAGGCCCCCAGGACACAAAGCTGTCCAACTGGGCATTGGTCCGTGACGCAAACAGGTCGATCGCCGGCTGCACCTGGAAGTGTTGGCAAAGGCCCCGGAACACTACTGGATCGAGCATCCAGTCGCTCGAATCGACCCCCTGACGGGACGGGGCATCGGCCGGGTTCTCCGCCGACGGTATGTACTCGGCTTGAACTGTGATGCCACGTTCCAGACACCACTCCCACACCTGGCAGGCCAGCTGGGACAAGTGCGGGGCATGTGTGCCGCCCATCTTGTTGAGGTAAGCCTGGCAAGTGGTATTGTCCACAAACAGGCGAACATGAAGCGGACGGTCCAACGCCACCCGGTGGAAGGCCTGAAGTGCCAGAAACGCCGCTGTCAACTCGAGGGCATTGATGTGCATGGAACGCTCTGCCCGAGTCCACCGGCCGCCCACCTGTTGATCCCTGCACACTGCTCCCCAGCCATCGAGGGACGCATCCGAGAACACCACCAGATTGCAGGGTGGGCGAACCAATGACTTCCCGTTCCAGTCGGACAGTCGCTCTTTCCACCACTGTAAATCCAGCCTGGCGTCGGGTGTCCACTGGACGGTCGCCTCGTAAGACTGGGACTCGCGAAGAGCTAGGATCTTGAGCTCCTGCAGATGCCGGTAACGGAGCGGCGCTGTTAGCAGACCCGGAGAAAGGGATGTCAAGCGCCCCAACAGACAGGCTAACGTGCGAACAGTCACCCGTGGCTGCAGCAGAAGCTTGGTGCACTCCTGGCGAAGCTTCCGGATCTTCTCCGGAGGCACCCGCATCTCCATGGCACGAGAGTCCACTTCGAAGCCCAAGAATGAGATGTTCTGGGCAGGAGTCAACACCGACTTCTTGAAGTTGATGAGAAATCCCAGTTGATGTAACAACTGAATTGCCCGGCGCAAGTGCTCCAGTGCTTCCGCCGCCGACGATGCCATAATCAGCAGGTCGTCCAGATAGATAATCAGGCGCACACCTTGGCTGCGCAGAATCGCCATCGGAACCTTCATGAGCTTGGTGAACACCCTTGGCGCGCTGCTCAGGCCGAAAGGCAAGCACTGAAATTGGAACAGCTGACCTGACCACCGAAATCGGAGCAGTCTCCTGAAATCGTGGTGGATTGGCACCACGAAGTAAGCATCCTTCAGGTCCAATTTCACCAGCCAGTCGTCGGGCTGAAGGAGATCGGGCAGCAGCTTCAATCCTTCCATCTTGAAGTGCTCGTAGCGCACGAACCCGTTCAGCGCTTTCAAATTCACCACGGGACGTTCCTTGCCGGAATCCTTCTTTGGAATGGTGAAAATCTGGCTGACGAATTGATGAGGACACTCCTGCACTCGAGTGACGGCCCCTTTCAGCATCAATTCGTCCACTTCGAGCCGCACAGCGAGCGCTCTGTCCTCCTCCAGAGATAATTCCCTGGGCTCCGTGCTTTGTGCGGGATCGGCCACGAGATCCAGCTTCAGGCCCCGCACCGCATCCAAGACCCACGGGTCGGACGTGATTGCCGACCAGGCTTGCACAAAATGCCTCAAACGCCCAGCGACCGGAATTTGGGGGAGCGGGGGCACGAGCGGAGCGCGCGCCAGCTCGTTGTGGGGTGGACTTGGATGGCCGCGAAGATGTACGTTGAGCTGGGAACGCGAACCATCCACCGGCAGGGTCATCAATGACCCTGACCGCGCCCCCGAAAGGGCCGATTGCCTCCACGCCCGTTTTTTGAACTGGCAGTGGCGGAAAAATGACCCTCTCGCCTATGGTTGTCATGGCGGGGAAATGAGCGGTGGCCCCCACGACGCCCACCAGCACTTGCTGGGTAATAATTATGGCCTCTGAAGTTGGAAGGCCGACTATCCTTGTATGCCGGCTTCGGCTTGGACGAGCCTGACGAGCGGCGAAAAGCGTCAATTTCTTGAGTCCGCTTCTTGTATTGTCTGGTAAAATCCTCGCCGAACAACAAGTTCCCAGACGGGGCCATTTCCCGGAGGAGGCTGGACGGGCACTTGTTGGGG